GAGGATTAGAAAAATCTAGGTGGAGAGAGAGAGAGAGTAAAAAAGCAAAGAAAAAAAGGGGTAAAAATTCGAAATAGTTAGATTTATAAGTTCTCGCATTTTTTGGGTTTCGGATTTGGTGTTCTTAATTTTTGGATTTTTGTTCTTTAATTGCTAGCCTTTTGAATTCCTTGTTTCTTTTTTTTTCTTAGTTAAATTTCAATCGTTATAGGTTTCTTAACTATACTTCTTAGGATTTTGTTAGGAGTCAAAACAATAGACAAAGGCTCGTTTAGTTAAGCAAGGTTAGTTAAGGAAATAGATTAATAATAAGGGTATTATTATCAAACACCCTTCGGATATTGTTATTCGGTTATTGTTATTTCTTCTTCGACTTCGATCTATTACAATACTTGTATTTAGATACAATAGAAATTGTCCATTAGCTATATTAGCATAAGGAGCATTCTTGTTCTTGCTCCTTTAAATTGAGGAACATGTAATTAGAAGGAGTAAGTTTTATTAATAAAATATTCAATGGAATTCTCTTCTTCCTCCTTTCTCTATTCTATTCCCTCTTCCTCTACTAATTCTCTTCTTTATTATTCTCTTCCCTTCCCGCAAACCTTACCATCATCCCTAAGGAATCATCGGTGAGCGAGTGCCTAACAAGTGGTATCAAAGCTTCTACACTATGGATGAAGGTACTAGACTCAAAACCCTAGATGAAAAAATGAAAAACTTAGAGGGCCGACCTACATGTTACAAATTGATGTAGCCAAAATACAAATAAAAACTTACCGATGTTTGGAGCAAAACATGTCAATGCTTACGCAAAATCAACGGACCTTCCAAGGCTTGATGGAGGTTGTGAAAGCTCTTCAACCCATAACAAGTGAAGGCTCCAAAGGGGCTAGCAGTTCCTCCAATAATAGGATGAATACGAGAAAAGGAATCCTACCTACACCCTTGGATAGTCAATCTCCATACACCGGATATACCACTACCCCCATTACCTTAACCAACATAATCATACCAACTAAGACTCACCACCTCATCTCTATGCACCCAACCAACTATGGTCATAGATGGATTTCTAATACTTTAATGGAACCAATATGTGATTATGGGCTCAAAAATGTTAGAAAGTGTTTTAGGTGTATCAAGTTAGAAAAAAGGCTAAGGTTGAGATAGCTCGCTATGTTCCCGGATATTAAACCGGACATATGGTACCGGGAATGGAAGGAAGATAAAGAGATATTAGATTGGGAGGAGTTTATAGAGGAATTATGTAGGAGATTTAAGAAACAAGAAGAAATATCCGTAATAAAGGAATTTCACAGTTTAAAGTAGATCGAAACCGTAGAGGAGTATTATGAGAAGTTTGAGAACCTAAAATCCTTAGTGAAAAGGATGAATCCAAGCTTCAAGAGGGGTATTTGATCAAAGTATTCATAGGAGGATTAAGGGGAGACCTAAGTTTGGTTATGAAGAGGTTCAAGCCCATAAACCTTTGAGAAGCATTTGAGTAAGCCAATCTCAATGAGGCCTACGAAAAAACCACACATAACCCAAAAAAACCACCCAACATACACCACAACTTGAACCAAAAACCTTCCCACACCACACTCATTGTTAGCTACCCCGACTACCAATAAAAACCACCCATTGCCACCGTAAAGGGATTACTAAAACAAACTAAACAACAGGATCGAATTTAGAAAGGAATTGGGAAAATGCTTCAAGTGTGGAGATAAATATTACCTAGGGCATCAATGTAAATTAAAACAACTACTACACATGATGCTAAAGAGGTGGAGCAAGGAGAGCAATTGGATAATGAAATTAGGGAGGAAGAATAACCAATAATGGAAGAGAAGGTCATAGTCGAAGTGGATAATGGCATCTCTCTATATGCCTTGAGTAGTAAGGCATCCCCTAATGCTTTCAAAATCAAAAGGTGTGTGGGAAAAAAGAGTATTAGTATATTGATTGATAGTGGAAGCACCGATAGTTTCATAGATAGTGGCTCTAGTGAGGGAATTGAAACTACCAATAATGAAAACCACCCCACTGACGATGATGAGTGGCTAACGAGGTCGAATGAAGAGTGAGTTTAGGTGTAGGGAATTTCAATCGGTAATGCAAGGTAGAAACTATGTGGCCGACTTAGGAATATTGGATCTAAAAGGGTGTGATGTGGCGTTTAGCTTAGATTGGATGGAACACTTTGACCTTAAAAATAGAGAGGTGACTATACACGAAGGAAATGAAAAGATCACTTTGAAGGCGGATAGAGGAGAGGGACCCTATAGCTTATTAAAGGGGAAAAGAGTGCAAAAGCTATTTAAGAAAGGGTTGAAAAGGGTCATAGGGCATATGTTTATGATGATTAGTGAAGAAATAGTAAGAGATACTCACCCACACCTTACCTCCCTCCTAGAGGAGTACCAAGACATGTTTGGGGAGCTAAGGGAACTACCACTTCATCATGCATTAGACCACACCATTCTTTTGAAACCAAACACCAATCCAATGAACATGAAACCCTAGAGGTACCCTTACTTTTAAAAGGTAAAAGTAGAAAAACCAATTTAGGATGCTACAAACTTCCATAATCCAGACCTAGTCACTCCCTTTTTACTTCTCCAGATCCTACTAGTTAAGAAGAAGGATGGTTCTTGGAGGTTTTATGTTGATTATAGAGGGTTAAATGACACCACAATTAAGGACAAAATCCCTATTCCCCTAGTGGAAGTTCTAATGGATGAGTTACATGGGGCAACCATTTTTCTAAAATTAATTTGAGGTCAAGTTACCATTAGATCATAATGGCTAAAGAGGACATTTTAAAAATAGCTTTCAAGACTCACCAAGGCCATTATGAGCTCAAGTTTATGCCTTTTGGGCTCACCAATGCGCTAGCCACCTTCCAAGCATTGATGAACCATGTATTTGTTAACTACTTAAGAAGCTTTGTAGTAGTTTTCTTCAATGACATTCTCATTTATACCTGGGAGTCTAGAGGAGCATTTAGTCCATCTCAAGGCTATGCTACGTACACTTAGACCACACTAATTCTATGCTAAAAGGACTAAATGTTCCTTTAGGGTAGACAAAATGGAGTACTTGGGTCATAAAATTACAATGGAAGGAATGACAATTGATCCATCCAAAGTCCAGAGCCATAAAGGAATGGCCACTCCCGACTAACCTCAAATCTTTTAGAGGTTTTCTAGGGCTCACTAGTTACTATAGGAAGTTTATCAAGAATTGTGAAAATATCAACCGACCATTGATGAATCTACTAAAGAAGGATGCATTCTAGTAGAGTGAAGAAGCTACACGAGCTTTTGCTCAACTCAAAGAAACTATGTGTAAGGCTCCAATGTTGGCATTACCCAACTTTAAGGAGCCATTTATCCTAAAGACAGATACATGTGACACCGGAGTGGAGGCTTATTTAATACAAGGGAGAGGCCTATAGCTTATCTTAGTAAGGCTTTATATGTAAGGAATCAAGTCATGTCTACTTATGAAAAGGATCTATTAGCCATCCTCATTGTAGTGGATAAATAGAGACATTATTTAGAAGCTAAATGCTTCATCATCGAGCCAAATCACTAAGCCTTAAATACCTATTACAACAGAAGCTACACATACATTTATAAAAGAAAAGCCTCACCAAACTACCGGGTCTCAACTACCAAATAGCTTACAAAAAGAGAAGAGAAATTATTACAACAGATGCTTTATTAAGGCTACATGATCCTAAACCTAACACTCGTCAAATTAAAGGCCATAACGATGCTAGAACCATAATGGTTAGAAGAAGTTAAGCACAACTATAGAAGAGACCCCGTCGCTCGTAATCCGATTAGGACTACCCTATAACAAACCTCACTACTTCCATACTAGGGGCTTACCGAGGTATAAAAGCAAACTCGTATATGGGAAATATAAGGGAACTTAAATAGCAAATTCTCATATACTTACACTCATCTCTTAGTGGTGGGCACTCAAGGTTCAAGGAAACTTACTATAGAGCCAAATAGCTATTCTACTAACCATTGTTGAAATAGAATGTGAAAAAAAAAGTGAGGAATATGATGTTTGCTAGAGATGTAAAATCGAGAAGGTTTCCTACCTAGCTTGCTTCAGTACGTTAATAGTACCTAAGGAAGCTTTGAAGCGAGCTTTAGTATGGACTTCATTGATGGACTACCTCCATCGAAGAAAAACACACCATCATGGTGATGGTAGACGAGTTCACTAAGTATAGCCATTTTATGGATGTAGCTCATCCCTACACAACAAGTAATAATGGTAAAGCAATTTCTTTAGAACATATATAAGTTACACGGCCTTCCAAAAACCATAGTTTCAAATTGAGACCTAGTCTTTACTAGCCAATTTTGGCGGGAGTATTGAAGCAATTAGGCACTACCCCTAATGAACATTGCTCATCATCCACAAATAGATAGGTAGACTGAAAAAGTAAATCAATTTCTACAAACTTACCTTAATTGTATGACTTTTCATAAGCCTAAGGTATGAAGTAGTTGGCTTTATCTAGCCGAGTGGTGGTACAACATGGCTTATCACGATTCTTTGAAGAGAACACCATTTGAAGCTCTCTATCGATTCAAACCTTTAACTCATTCAAGTAATGTTCATGGAAGCTCCCAAGGTTGCGATCGTAGTCACACATGTAGGAAAGATAGGAAATATTAAGGTTAATCTTATAATAATTACTAATAGCCTAAGAAAGAATACGGACTCAAACAGACGAGAAGAAGCTAGAAAGGGTTTTTAAAGAAGGGGAGATGGTTTACCTAAAGCTACGACTCTACAAGCAATCCTCAATGAAAAAATGCATAAATCGAAGTTAAGTGTTCGATTCCATAGCCCATTCAAGATTTTATAGAAGGTTGGGAAGGTAGCCTACCACTTGGAACTTTTAGATGGGAGTTTGATACACCCAATTTTTCATGTCTCGTTGCTTAAGCAAAAGATTGGGTCTACTCAATCTTCCTCCATATCTCTACCACCTATGGATAATTGCAACATAGAGGAATTTATACCGGAGAAGGTGTTGGATCGAAACTATATAAGAAAGGAAATTAGGTCAAGTGGCTATTCTTGTGGAAGAACTCTAGGGTGGAGAATTCAACTTAGGAGGATGCTCGAATTCATTTCTCGCCAATACCTGCATTTTTATCCTTGAAGACAAGGATGAATTCCAAGCGGGATGGATTGTTAGGAGCAAAAACAATAGATAAAGGCTCGTTTAGTTAAGGCTAGTCAAGGAAATGGATTAATAATAAGGTTATTATTATCAAACACCCTTCGGATATTGTTATTCAGTTATTATTATTTCTTCTTCAACTTTAATCTGTTACAATACTCGTATTCGAGTTACAATAGAAACCGTTTAGTAGCTACACTAGCACAAAGATCATATTGTCTAATAGCTATGAGCATTCTTGCTCTTGCTCCCTTAAATTGAGGAACATGTAATTAGAAGGACTAAGTTTTATCAATAGAATATTCTCTAGAATTCTCTTCTTCCTCATTTCTCTATTTTGTCCCTTCTACCTTTACCAATTCTCTTCTATTCCCACAAACCTTGCCATCATCCTTAAGGAATCCATCGGTGAGCAAATGCCCGACTGATTTGGGGTTTAATTCTTCAATTTTGAGGTTTTCTCCTTCAAATTTCTTGGCCACCACTTGTGTTTCTTCTTATTTTTCTAGGTTGGTGTTCTTCATTCTCTAGGTCGATTGAAGGGGCTTTAATCTTATTTTGAGGAGGATTATTGTTGTCCGGGAGCAAAAAAGAGAAATCAAGGTTAAAGATTCGAAAAATCGTGAGAAATCAACACTTTAGCTTCGACGAGTTATGGGTTTTTTTTTTGGGTTTTCTAGGTTTGTTCCATGATGTTCTTCGATCATTTCCCAAGTCGACTCATGGGTTTGATTCTCCAGCTTTGATTCCATTATTGCTTAAGTTTTAAATTCTTACTTGTTATTCGTTCATGCTTTGAATTGTGTTTTGATTGAGGAAAGTGAACATTGGTATGTTTAATTGAATCATTTGCTTGGAGAGAATTCATTAGTTCTTGGAAAATGTGAGGAACTAGAGAGAGTACGCAAAACACGAAGAACAAAAGAGAGGGGTTTGAAAGGCATTTTGATCGAAATTACAGAGTGATTTGTTTCTAGATCTATTTCTACCTTCATCCAACTTAGGGTAAAAAAACAAAAAAAACAAAAACAAAAAGAGGTGCGAGTTGGGCTAGCCCAACCTAAGTCGAACAAAGATCGGACTGATTTTAGTCCAACCCAACCCATTTTACCCAAAAAATTAAAAGAAAAAAGGTTGGACTAACCAAAAAGCTTAAAAAATAAAGAGGCAGTAGCTCGGTTTGGTTCGGCTTCGCCCCTCTCCCCTTTCCCTTCACAAAGAAACAAAAAAGAGGTCGGACTAGAATTAGTCCGACCTCTACCAAAAAATGAAATAATAATTAAAAAAAAAAGTGAAGAAACATAAAGAATGAAGAAAGAATAATAAAAAAAGGGTAATAAAAATAAAAAGAAAAAGGGAAAATTTGAACCAATAATAATAATAATAATAATAATAATAATAATAAAATGTTTGACTAGAATTTAAATTTTATGCATGTTTATTATTCCATATTTAATTTAGATGTTTAATTGTCTTTAATAATTCTAATTAATGTAGTTTTATTCTTACATTTATTGTATGTTTATTAGTTTATATTTAATTTAGAATTTAATGTTTAAATTGTTTATAATTACTTTAATTAATGTTATTTTATTTTTTTTATTCCTATTATGCATGTTTTCTTATTAATTTAAATTTTGGTAGTTGAACTTCCTTTAATTTACTTAATTAATATAATTTTACTTTTTTTGTTTAATAATTAGGCTCATTAAGTAATAAGTTGAGGATTGTCAAGTCTCCTATTTCTTTAGGGATTGATGGCGACCTTTTACCAAATAAATAATTTGATTTAAAATAAAGAATAAAAAAAAGATTGAAAAAAAAAACTTAACTTTATTTCATTTAACCTAGAATTAATTTTTTGTATGTCTTTATTTTATGTTTAATCACTATTTCAATGTTTGAATTTCCTTACTTTATTTAATTAATGTAATCTTTATTTTTATTTTATTAATTAGACTAAGTAATCAATATGTAGATAATGATCAAGTCTCTTATTTTTTAAGAACCGATAACGGTTTTTCCATCGACAAAATAATAATAATAAAATAAAAACTAATTAATAATTAAAATTTCTAACGAATTGTGCTATGTGATAGGGACTTTTGTTAAAAACAAAATGAGAAAACAAAAACAAAAATTAATGAACATTTCTAACAAAGTCTCCTATCTAATAGGGAATGTTGTTAGTTTAAAAAAATATCAACATTCAAAAAATCAGGATTTTCTCTAATACACTCGGTTGTGTCAAGATTCAAAAAGTAGATCCAATGTTTAAACGGATGTGTTTCCCAATGAAGGATTCCAAGCAATCATTTTAATACGATGCCACACCCAAAAATAAGAAACTAAATTTGGCTTTAAAAATTGGAGTTTAAATCAAAAAATAATTTGGCACAAATAAAAAATTTTAGGAGATGAATTTAGGACTAAACTAAACCCGGTACCTTTCTTCAAAAATGATGTTTTTTAGGTGATTAAATATCTTTCCAAAAGCGTAATAGCTCCTAGTTCTTTTAATACTAGGTGGCAACTCCAAACTTATAAATAATGATGTTAATAAATTATAAAAATCTTAAATAAAAATTCTATAAACCTTTAAATTTCTCGAGAGTCTCATCGAATGTCGGGTAGCGACAACAATACAACAACAAGAATAATGAATTTATATGAGATGGTAACCAAACATCTTACATGAGATAAAACATAAAATCACACACGATACTCGTTCCAACTAATTACATTGATTTTACATTACCTTATGTGTTCTCCTTTTGTCCAAACACCCCCTCTAAACGTGACATCTTCAATCGGGAAAGACACTAAATTTGGACACCAACTTGCATTACAATTTTCAAATATGGCATCACTTTTTGCATCACTTGCCATAATTCTAAATCCGAGAGAGACTCTAACATCAATCCCTTAATTTTTCGTATGTTATTATTCTCTCCAAAAGGCGCATCATTCATCATAGTAAGATTTCCGGAAGATATCGAAAGATATCTTAACATATGAAGTGAAATGGGACTAAGCCATGCAGACACTTAGCTTACCTAGATAAAATTGGAGAAAGAGTTCATGGAGCTCGATGGAGGGTAGATTTTATCAAGTTTGTCAATAAGATCGCTACCATGGCTATCAAAGCAACTTATTGTTAAGAATTGAAGTCGTTGAAGGTTTACCAAAGCACCGACCTTACGATCTCCAATCTCATCATCCCAAACGAGGTGTAGTCCAAGTTTCCTAAGTCGATCGAGATTTCTCAACTCAACGAATCCAACATCCTTGTAATTGGCATGATCTGGTTGGCCTAAAACCTAATAAAACTTTAAGATTTGAAAGCCTTCCTAAGCCCTTTGGTAAGTATCCAAGTGAGCCATAGTGACTAGCATCCAACACCTAAGTTTCTTAAAGTTTATGAGATATGGAGGTAATACTTTCAAATTTTGGCAATAACTCATGTTGAAAATCGCAGGTTTTTAAGGTTCTTTAGTGAAGGTGGGAGTTGAATCAAAAGATGGGTGTTTCTTAAGCTAAGGTATGTCGAGTGTCGAAGGAACCCAATATGAGATAATAAACCTATGAGAGACATTTCAAAAATTATTTTGTAAAGATCTAAAACTCCCAAGTATTTGCATTCATTGAACTTGTTTGCAAAGCTTGATGCTATCCTGTTCACTTTATCAATCTTGGTTGCGAGAAAACAATGCTTGTAACTTGTGATCGGTACCAAGTTGCTTTGGATCCATTTTCATATCAATTCTAAAATGGTAGTAGCCTCTACCAAGTAACCTAAAAAAATGCATCATTTTCATCCATTTTTATAACCAATTCATGAACCATTTCATGAATCTTGCAAGTGTGGATAGTTCCATTATAAGTCTTTCCAACAACTTCTACCAAATATCAATTTGTTAAACTTGAGAAACAATCTTCCCCGACTTCAGTTGATGGTCTTTCACTTCTTACAGTACAAAACCTCTCCAATCCACTAATGTACTAGTTGCTCTTTTGTTATAACACAATCCTTTGGATAAAGAGAGAAACTTAAGAAGCATGACTTCAGCTATGAAGGGAGCTCATCATAACTTAATTGAAGCGAGGGCATTACCGTGTCATCATTTTCTCCCACTTCATCTAAAACATTATCCGTAATTCGTTTCCACTCATGATAATGTGATTTATAGAGCAACATTCCTCCAATCGCTTTGATTGCTAAGGGAAAGATTGCTACATTTTTGTATAATCTCCTTAACAACCTTTTCTAGCTCAAGATTTGTGCATCGACTTCCACTAGTTACGAATGCTATCTTTCTAAATAGCAACCAGTTATCATAATTGTTGAGGATATCGAGCCGATGCATCTTGTCTTTACTCACTTCCATCTTTCTTAAAACTTTCACAAGTCTTGTAGTGATGATAATACTACTTCCATTACCCTTGGGCAACTTTTTAGAGATTTTACTCCACCAATTACCATCTAGACTTTATACGTCATCCATCACAATCAAGTACCTCTTACTTAAAAGGTATAAATTTATTTTCCTCAATAATTCACCATGATCATCTCCTACACTTGCATCTCTCAAAGTTCTCGGCATGTTTCTCCCGATTTGTTCTTCATCTAACGATTAAGAAACGAGATACCCATATTTTTCTCTCAAACATGTCCTCTATTTCTCTATCATTGAAGACCATTTGAGCAATTGTGGAATGGTCTTACCTAATCCACCCATACCAATAATGCAAATTTTTAGTATGCTCGAATCCGCATTATAAAGCCAATCTTTAATCTTCTCTATGTCATCTTCTAACCCAACCACTTGGGTTGTGGTCATACACTAGAGAGCTCCATCTAGGCATTTGGTCATTGCGTGCATCTATTCTCCCCATATCATTCATGATTGAAGGACCAAGGTAAGACATGATGATTTTCTTAATGTTGGTGATTTTTTCATTGATTTCCCTCAAATACTTTCCAGTTTGATATTGAAAATGAAGATTCGAAGGATAAACACAAGCTAACCAACTCGTTAGAAAATTGATTATCCTCTCGTTGATTGAAGTTGGCGATCTGCTAGTATATCTTCGCATTCATAAATAAGTTCACGCAAGTTGGCTATGATCCCATTTAGATTTTGGTTCTTTCTCTTTTTTTTATTTGCATCTTTGAGGAAGCATTCCATTAATTGCAATTTATTCCGTAATTTCTTAAACTAGTATCGGAATCCATTCACTACAAATCCTTCATGTATAAGAGTCTTCGAAGCCTTTTCAAAAACCCAGTGACCATAGGATCCATCATGTCTTTTTCCTTCTAAAAGAAGTTCTTTAATCAAAATCAATTGTATGGACAAAACAAGAAAAAATCTACCTCAACTATTACACAAATAATCAAGTACTACCTTCAATTTTAGAACTCCTGCATGAACCCCCACATAATTCTTATTAGAAAAGAATACCCATATAGTTGGTTATCCAACACTATAAATATAGAGATAGGGAAAGTTGACTTATCACGAACTCATACCTGTATTACGAGTATGAGCTAAAATGCAATTTAGTTATGCTTGGGTTGGGCCATTTATGTCAAACCCGGATACTCTTTAGGGTTGTTAATTTACCAAACAAGTTGGCAAAAGCACTAGAATTAATCAAGCATCCACGTTATAATTGCAACCTAGTACCTACACATACAAACATAGTACCTACACATACAAACAAAAGGAAACAATGCTAACAACATTGGCTACAAACCCATCATATTCAAACTAGAAATTAACAAGAAAGTGAAGAAGTACAGTAAAATAAGTAAAAAAACGGATACAAACCAAATTGGGAACAAGTTAATTCCTCAATTAAAGGAACAAGTCTTTTGAATCTCTCGCCACTTACAATTGACCTTGTTCATCGCTACAATCTTTCCTGCACAATAGATGACCGAGTGATGTTACCTGAAATAGATCATAAAAAAATTAGAATCAAATTGGCTAGCAAACGACCCATTATTTGAAGAAGTTGAAAGAGTCGAGAATAAAAATTCCCAAGAGATGGGACTTACAATAGGAAGCAGTAACAACTAATGACTCTATTGTAGGAATCTAAAAATCTAGAGCTACATAAGTAGAAAGGGTAAAGAGGTAGAAACATTAACATAAAAAAGCATCCTCTTTTTATGTGGAAAATTTATTTAAAGTTCACTAACTATTATTAAAAGTAAAAATACTTTGGAATCTTTTTGCTTCTCAACCATTTCATTTTAGGTGAATTCAATACTAAACGTCCGTCGTCGGCATGCCATCTTTCAATAACGAAGTCAGTATTACGGGATAACTCCGCATTTTGATATCCAATTGATTTCTTACCTAGAGGAAAATATGTAAGTATTGTTGTTTTGAAGAGCTTTTATCTCATCATGCATAGCAAGTCTCCAACACTTATGTTTAACGACCTCAAAGTTTTTGGCAATTAGAATGAATGTATCTAAGTAATCAATGCCAACCTATTGGGTATATCCCTTGGCTACTAAGCAAGCCTCGAACCTCTCAATAGTACCATCGATTTGTATTTGATCCTTTAAACTCATTTACATCCAATTGATTTCTTACCTAGAGGCATATATTTCAATTACCATGTATTATTGTCTTGAAGAGCTTTTATCTCATCAAGTATAGCAAGTCTCCAACACTTATGTTTAACGGCCTCAAACTAAGTTTTTGGCAATTGGAGTGAATGTATCTAAGTAATCAATACTAGCACTGTTGTGCACATCGCTTGGCTACTAAGTAAGCCTTGAATCTCTCAATAGTACCATTAGATTTATATTTGATCTTGTAAACCCATTTATATCCAATTGATTTCTTACCTAAAGGCAAATCTATTAGTTCCTACGTATTGTTATCTTAAAGAGTTTTTATCTCATCCTTCATAGCAAGTCTCCAACATTTATGTTTAATAGCCTCAAAGTAAGTTTTTGGTTCAGAAATATGACTAACATTAATAAAATAAGTTTGATGAGAAGGAATGATATGTAAATAAGAAAAAAACATGGTCATGTGTATAAGAAGAAGTACTTGTTGGAGTAACGAACCTCGCTATGAAAGATGATTGGTAGAGTTGATAGAATTAAGAATGGAGTGGTGGTCATAAGCTTATAAATAAGAGAGAATATGTTTTTTTCTAAAAGATTTTCGAATTGGTTAAGTAGGAAGAGAATTGAGAAAAGAGGTAGGAATATTAGTGGAAAGACTGACAAGTAGAGTAAGGAGCATCATTAGATGATGGTGAATCGAAGAGAAATCTAAAGTGAAAACGAGATGGTAAAACAAGATCAAAAAAGATAGAAGAAGGATCAAATTGCATAGGAAATATATGTTCATAGAAAAGAACATATCCGGAAACAAAAATTTGATGAGTGGTAAGATTGTATAATTTTTATCCTTTTGTTCCATAAGGGTAACCAACAAAGATGCATTTAATAGCTCTTGGAGCAAATTTAGATCTAGATTGAGCAAGAGTTGATGCAAACCGAAGCAACCAAAACCTTTAAGATGAGAAAATATAGGTGGAGTTTTGTATAAGAATTCAAATGTTGTTCTATTCTCAAGAATAGGGAAGGAAGTTGATTATTAAATATATAGCTTGTAAAATACAATCCCCCCAAAAAGGATAATGGAAGATGAGATTGAAAACTCAAGGATCTAGCAATTGCAAAAATATATTGATGCTTTCTTTCAACCATACTATTTTTTTATGGAGTGGAAATACAAGATGTTTGGTGCATAATGCCATAAAGATTATAAAATGTAAGCACATTGAATTCCTAACCATTATTAGTTATAATACTTTTTATCTTGACAAAAAGCTGAGTATGAACAAAAGTGCAAAAAATTTTACATATTTGGCTTGAGATTTTAATTTCATTAGAAAAACCTATGTACATCATTTGAATCATCAACTATTATAAGAAAATAGTGATGACCGGATAGAGTTGATACGGAAAATGGACCCCAAATGTCCATGTGAATGAGTTCAAAACAAGACATAATAACAAATGTGCTTATAGGAAAAACAAGTCTTTTTGTTTAGCGAGATGACATGTTTCACAAGTAAAGACATTTTCAATTGCAATGGCAGAATCTAAAGATTGGGGAATTTTTATCCTAGGTATAGCCAGATGACCTAACCTATTGTACTAAAGTATGGCAGAAGACTTTGAAGAACAATCCGCATCACAAGAAACTAAACTAGCCTATGCATAGGAAGCAAATTCAGATGTTGAAATATGATAGAGTCCTTGGAATTGTCTAGCTATACCAATCATCTTCCAGCTTTTCAAGTCATGTATCACACAAAAATCAGAGTTGAAAAAACAAGCAACAATATGAGTCAAAAGTCAATTTAGTAACCGAAATAAGATTTTAAGAAAAAGATGGTGCATATAAGACATTGGATAATACCAAGGAGGGTGAAAGACCGACATACCAATATGAACAATTGAAACTTGTTAACTAGTTGGTAATTTAACAAGCATGTTAGAAATAGATTGATACTAACTAAATAATTTTAGAGAGCACACTATATGATCTATGGCTCCAAGTATCTAATACCCAAGTGGATAAAAAGTAGTAGGATTAGAATGATAGGAAGAAACCAATTTACTTGCCATATCACTAGAAGAAAATACAATATTGAGAGAGTTTATCTAAACTGAAGGAGTGATTTGAGGAGACCGAATTAATTCCATTAGTTTGGTATATTGTTCGATGTGAGGGATATGGAAGAAGGCAATGTAACACGAGTATCGGGACTTGAAGTAGGATTTTGATTATTAGCGGATTCAAGGTTTTCAACACTCGGGTCCAGGTATGTAAGTCTTTTTAGATAAGTCTGTTAGCTTGAACTTGATTCATAAAACTAGTTTGCTAATGAATTTTATTGAATCCAAAGTAAGAACTAGTTCTAGAAGGTCCGTATTTTGATTTGTAACTAGGAGGAAAACCATATTTCTTATAGCACTTATCTACTACATGACCCTAAAGACCACAATGAGAGCAAGTTGGTCTATTAGATGATCCTCCTTAAAATCCCGTAAACTTTCTCTCGTGAGTTAGAGTTAGATACTCTTTTGCTCATAAAAACAAGCTTGATAAAGCACTTGTGTGTGATTTGGATGAGAGAGGTCCCAAAGGCATTTGCCTTTCTTGTTGAATAACGATAAAAAATACTTTGTTAATCTTAGTTAATGGATCAAGAAGCATAATCTGCGACTTAACGATGGAGTAATTCTCATTTAATCTCTTCGGGAATCTTATTACATAGTTATTTATTTGATAATTCTTCTCAATTTTAAGAGCTTCATAATTACAACAATGATTACAGGAGCAAGTAGGTACCGGTCTTAAGTTCATCAATTCTTCCCAAAAAATCTTAAGTCGAGTAAAACATTGTGTCACGGAATCATTACCTTGGTGAAATGTAAAAATTTCATCTTGTAAATCCGCAATGCGAAAAGAGTCTCAATGAGAAAATCTCTCTCTTAGATCTTTCCGGACTTCAGCGGCTATGTCCAACCAAAAAATGTTGTGTGCAATTGAACGAGAAATTGAGTTAACTAACCAAGACAACATCATTATATTACAGCTTTTCCTAATTAGGATATAGAGGATCGGTTATTGCAAGAATTGGAATAGAACCATCCATAAACTTATGTTTGTTCTTTAATAATAGTGCCTTTCTCATGGATCTTGACCGTGAGTGATAGTTAGAATTAGAAAGTGTAGGGGAAACAAGTTCTAATGAAAGATTTTCATTAGCATGTAGGAAGTAAAGGCTTGAAGATTGATCTTCAAGTCCGGAAATGGTGTTTATGAATCGATTCTTTACCATTGATGCGTAGAGAGATAACCGAGTATAAGGAGTGAAACCGATTGATATGAGAGATTTTATGAAAAAATTTGAAGAATAATCGAGAAACCCATGAAGGATAATGTTTGTTTCTCGGGAAAATAAGGAAGCAAAGCTCAAATGAAGGAAATGTTGAAGGAGAGATAAAGAAGCTCGATACCATAACAAGAAAATATTCTATGTGAATTGTTCAATCTATTCATCAAAAAAGGAAAGAGAAGCTTTTATACAAGGTGTCGACTAATCCTAAAGGATTGCCAACTAAGCAAAACTAATTATCCCTTTAACTAAAAAATAGCTAACTAAACTAACAAATTTTAATTACAAGTCTGTTATAAATAAGTTATGATAGTTTTTGTCTCTCTATTCCTATGTTTTTATTACTATATGCTTTTTGTATTTTTACTACTATAGTTTTTTTCTCTTTTCCATCTTTACGTGCGCATGTGAGTGTAGGGTGTGTGTATATATATACATGTAGAAGTGTGTATAGGATTAGTCTAAACTTGGCTGTGTTGTTCTAACCTTCTTCCCTTCTTCTTTTTTCTCCAAATTTTTTTTTTTTTTGGTGATTTTTTTTTTTTTAAGATTCATTGTTAGAGGGGAAAAAATGAGGTAATGACATACAGGATTAGTCTAACTTGGGCCGCGCTGTTCTAGCCTTACTTCTTCCTTCTTCTTTTTTCCAATTTTTTTCCTGATTTATTTATTTATTTTTATTTTTATTTTTTGAGATTCGTTGATACTGGAAAAAATGAGGTAATGACATACATATCAATAATAATTCTTTGGTCATAAACGAAAATTAAAATTACTTACAATATAGTAGGGACTCATATGAACTTTTTAAATAACGTTGTGAGTGACTTATATGATCAACGATCACCTGAATCCTTAACATTGTTTATGTTTATTACACTGTAAATTGCTAGCATCGCGCTGGAAGATGCATGACATGATTTATGTCTACAAACATCAACTTTATCAATCGGTAATATCTTGCATATAAATTAATGAGTAGCTAGGCGAGCCAAAACACCAACCAGTGGTGCAACATTAGCAGTCGCAGCTTCAGTCTGTTCGAAGTCGGATCTAGAGTCTGTGTAGCCATCAAGTGCATCTGGGCCTCCAACAATTGCCCCCTCCAACACATTGGGGTTGGGTGCTTTCCTCTTGAACCACACTTGGTAACCTTCTTGACATGCCACTGGTTTCGGATTCTTCTTGATTGACACAATGGATGCTCCCCTATGATGAGGTTGGGTTGGATAATTTGACCCAAAACCAACCATATAGCTCATTTTCTTTGGATTTGACCCCAATATATAGTCAACCTACATATTTCCACAGACAATTATAAGATAAATAACAAGTATATACATAAAGGGGCAAAGAAAAACTTCAATCCAATCAAACAACATATTAGAAGCGAGACTTTTGGGGGGGGGGGGAACAAAAAGATACAATTTTGAGTTGCGAATGATACCTTTAAAAAACTAACAGAAAAATTAAATAATAACTTCAAAAAAAAAAAAAAAGGTATTCTAGTATATTAATATTGGTTTTGTTGATTAATAAATTAAGAAAGAATGGTGATATTAATTATATACCTGTGATTGGGCTAGATGAATAAGATCAGTGGGTCGAACAATACCACCAGGGCACTTGATTGAAGCATGGTCGGCATAAAGGTAGTTACCGTAGGCGGCTGCCACTAACGAAGCTGTGGCAACATATTGAAGGTTATCCCATTCGGAAAACCATAACAAACCACCTGGTGTTTTCTTCACATTCTTGCTGTTCTTTTGGATGCATGAGCATATAAATTGTTCTGCCTCACTCTTGTATTGACCCCAGGTCCCAGTGTTCGGAACCTTTCCCTCTAATACAAGCTGCATCCAACAATTTCAATTAATCGCATTAATTTTCTTCCATTGTCTCTCCTTTCTTAATTAGAAGGATCGAAAGTATTTCAATTTTTTTCTCTTTGATTGCAACGACAGTATTCCAAAGACATCGAATCTCATGTATAATTGATACAAAAATTTACAACAGATGAACTCTCTCAACTATAATAGACAATAAGATAAAGAAAAGATTAAAAATTAGAATATTTATTCATATAAAAAAAATTAAATCATTTTAATCCTGAAAAGAAACCGAATTAAGAACTCAATAGATAAATAAAAGTAAATTAAAATGATATTTGAACGCCAAAATTGTCAGGGATTGCTTGAAGTACCTTAGCAACAAGGAGTTGCGCACCCACAAACTTGTCATCCCACGAAAATGAGCCTCTGATACCACCAGTATTTCCAGATGCACCCAGGTAATTAAGGTATGTATTATCATTGGTGGCACGGTGAAGCCATGCAGCAGCCCACAATAACTCATCCTATATATCATACATTCAACACAAATATTTTATATTGCAAATTTCTTAACGAAAAATTGCGTCTTATATTTGTTTTTGCTACAAAAAATATTGGAATTTGAAACCTTTTAGAAGGAGAGATGCTTTTAATGGTAGCTGAGATGCAGTACATTGACAGATTACATACTATATTGAACACTAAGTAGCAAAAAGTTCGTTAAATTCATTATTTCTTCACACACATTAGTTACAATGGTACAAAGATGCCAGATGAAATATGTTTCATCACAAAATATTATTGCATAATTTCAATAAAAGTTGCCCCTTTTTTCTCTACATTTAAAATAGTGTAAAATAAGTTTTGATATGGTAGTACAAATAAAGTACTTTACGCTTTTAGGACATTTTTACAAAAGAAATCAGTAGGATTTGCATATATGTTGGGAATATTCAAGTTGAACCAACGAGCTACAAAAAGTATAATATAATATATGATTTATTATTATTAGAGCAAAAGCTTTCGGATGACATGAAGTTCCAATTTCATCACTACTATTTTTCTTTTAAGAGCTTTATCTAATAATTTAAATTTAAGAATTTAAGAATTGGATATCACCTAATAATTTAAGTTTTTGACTGAAATAATCATTTTATAATTATGTATCTATTTTTCAATTATTAAAAGATGCATAATTGGACATAATAAAATTAAAATAACAGAAATATTTTTTTTAGAATCAGGAGGGCATGGGCGTATAGAAAATTACAATAAGCACATGCATGCTCAGGATAGATACCGTACAAATATCATCTAGAAGTAAATGTCAGTATTTGATTAACTAAATCATATGATTAAAAAAACACTCTCTCCACATATAATAAATGGTTACCTCATATCCACTGCTGGCGTAGAACCTAGCCGCAGGGATGCTCTTCTGGTAAAGACCAGGGTGACCACTAGCAAACTCAAAAAGCTACGACATCATATAAAAGTTATGATTAGCTATCAATAATTAAGCACACTAGGTAGTTCATTAGTAAAACAATGAGACACGACCAGTGGGACGTACGTAATACCTGTTCTGCATGGCTCACAAGTTGGGTAGAGTATGCAGGGTTTGAAGAGCTAAAAGCAATAGATGCAGCAGCCAAGGCAGCAGCTGTCTCAGCAGCAATATCAGCTCCAGGATGTTGGTCATCAATCTTAAAACTGGTTCTGAGCGTTGTCATGTCCTCTGGCCTCTCCCAACAAGCATGGTCAGAATCACCGTCACCAACTTGACCATAAAGAACGTGTGGCTGAGGATGGGCTTTGATGAGGTAGTCAGTGCCCCACTTGATGGCGAGCAGTGCATTTGAGAGCTCCTTTTTGGCTTCCAGTTGCGAACTGAATTCAATAGTGCTCCATGAAAGCGTTGTAATGGTAAATGCCATTGGAAATCCAAATTTCATATTGTCTCCAGCATCGTAGTATCCTCCCACAAGATCTATCTATTAGTTGCAGATTCATATTAACTCCCATATCAAGTCTATTACTGTAAATGTTCATTTATTGATCATGCATCTTTTACGTTCGTCTGAGAACAATTTATCCCAATTATTGCAATCAATAGTTACGGCATCTTTGGAATGGTATAATATAATGTAATGAATTATGTAAAGCAATGACATGGAATAAGATGATTCATTGTTTTTTTTTTTTTTTTTTTTTAATGGCTACAATTTTCTTAAACATGTTTTAAGATGTTGTTCAGAAACAAAGAATGGAATTTTGAAAAAAAGAATGAAATTTTTATTTTTAATTTGTAAGTGTTTAGTTGAATAAAATGAAACGAAAATAAAAATGAAAAATATAAATAGTTTCATTTTCATTATAGAAAGTTGGAATAAAAACAATAAATAAAAATATTTTTTTTCTAAAAAATAATGATATATTATTTTTATTTATTGTGTATCAACTATTTTTCCTATTATGATCACTTCCAACACCTTCTCCATCACCACCACAACCATTGGCGGCGATAATATTAAAAGAATTGAAAAAAAAATATTTTATTATTATTTTATCACTACTTGCTCTTTCTTCTCCAACACCATCATCATTTTTTATTATACTACAACTAATACCACTTTTCGTCTATTGTCACTTTCTATGATAATGACATAAATTTTTTAAAAAATATATTATTACTATTACTATCATAACAACCCCAACCTCATTCTTTTTCACTACAAGTACTATCAAAATCACTTCTATTATTTTTAATATCATCATACTTGATGAAATTATTTTTTAATTTAATTATTTTTCTTATTTATCTTAAAATCTAGATATTAAAAATTTTTAATTTTATTTCAATTCTTTATTAATATTTCAAACACAATCTTAAAATAAAAATTATCATTTCGATTACTTAATTTTTATTCTAATTCTTGCATTTTTATTTCAAACTTTTTATTTTTGCTAACAAAAAATACCTAAATATATTAAATTTAGATAAACCACTAAGTAGAAAGTTATGACATTATGACTATCAAATTTAACACGACACCCAGATCTTATAAATCTCTAACACACAACAAAATACGTAGAATTTCAAAATTACATCACAGTTCTGGAAAATAGATTGCAAATGAAGGAAAGTAATAAAGAACAAATCTCATATTAAATAAAATATATAAAATAAAAAATAATATCCACTTGGCGGATTTTGAATATAATCCAACTAAAATCCAATAGTGATACTCATTTGTGTATATAGAGCTATCCAGTACTTAACCGTAAGCCCTTGAAGTTGGAAACTTCATTAAATTTTTACGATAAAAAACCCAATTAATGAGCGTGTTGTATTATGCTACTATACTAATTACCTAGAATACTAATTAATCAATTCGTGAAGCAAGTACATGAGTACACAATGCAAGGAAAATTAAAAACAAGAATAAATAGGGGTAGGACCATGATTGCTTGAATTAACATCATCCTTTTCCCAGTTTAATTTAATAAGATATTAAAAAGAAGAAAAAAAAATGATTATCTTACTCGAGCATCACTTCCATCTTTAAGTCCAGAATCTCCACGCCATTGCACTCTCTGGTCAAAAGGCAATTTTCCCGAACGTTGAGCCTCATAATATAACAAAGATTTAGTAAGTGCTGTTCCATAATCAACTGATGAAACAGCTCCACTCATCAACAGGAAGATGGAGAGGCTAGTAAAACCTAGCACGCTATTAAACGACATGATATGATCTGATGGAAAATCAAACCTATTTAAGAAAATGTAGTCAAGTTATAACCATAGAAAAGATAACCTGCATTTTATAGATAAAACTCAGAGCCACTGGCAATAAAGAATTATTGAGACTATTATTCCTTACCATAATAGATCTATCCCATTAACAAGGCTAGAATAGCTTCATTGTCATGATTAAAACAAAAATATCCGTTTCGTAGCACTTACCATAAATGCCCACGAAATATTCAATGCAGTGAACCAACATTTAAGGGGGAAAAAAGGTCATTCGTTAAGATTTAACCATGAAGGTTTGTTAGTGTGTTTGGTGTGGGTATGTGTCCCTAGAGTTATCGGCATGTCAATTGCCCCATTGATAGGTATTCCCTTCCTTTCCATTCCAACCTGTTAAGACTACAAGGAGCTGCAGGAGTAATGGACTCTACAGTAACAGATACACAAGCAAACTCTATCAACAAAAGAGACCTGCACAAGTCATGGCAGCAAATTCAATCAACACAAGAAGTGGGTTGCTAACGAAACGCTACGCTTAGATAGAGACTGTTACTAGCTAGATAAAGTTTATATATTCTCATCATTGTCAAACCATATAGGATGAGTTAAGTCCTAAGTAATATAGAACATACAAACTTCATAACATACTTTTCTGTAGTTTCAATTTGGTATTAGAGCATTACAGGCATCACTGCCGATTCTTCCTCCTTTTTTTCCTCCCTCCCTCCCTCCCTACGCTGCACTCTTCATCAAACAATAGATGACCTCTTCTAGCAACACTTCTTCTTCCACTACTGCTACCACAACAAATGTCGTCCCTCTTTCCATCCCAATGAATCAGCTCACAAATCCCCATCATTTCTTCTCGCTCACACTTTCCCAAACAAACTTTCTGCTATGGTGCATCCAGATAAACCCCTTTCTCCTAGGCTAGACTTCTTCAGCTTTGTTCATGGATCTTACCCCTGCCCTGCCCTCCTAGACACTTTACCGCCACTGAATCCGAGATCACACAGGTAGACCCTTCACACCTAGCCTGGATCCAACAAGACATGAGCACTATCATCTCCTCCCTCTCAACTGATTGCTCCCACTAGTCATTGACTGCACGACCTTTCAAGATATATGGTCTGTTCTTGAAAGAGCACTTGCATCTCTATATAGCACTTAAACCATAACATTGCATCTTACAATGCAAAAGCTTTGCCAAAAGCCAACAGAGCTAGCATCCTAATATTTGCATCGTGCCAAATGCCACAATGATGAACCCACTGCAGCAAGCCGACCACTCTATGCTATCGAATTCAACTTATATGTCTTCAATGGACTGTCTGACAACTTTAAAGACATTGTCACTACTATCTCCACGAGATCTAAATTGGTAAACTGTAATATCACTGACATCCTAAAATTCTCCTTAAATATAAATATATTATAAGCATGTTTTATTTAATTAATAAAAGAATATTTATTTGAAGCGAGGAATGAAAGGTTATGCTTGCATAAGGAATAAATTAGATACAAGCATGAAAATTATCAAAGGCGAATGAATTAATTAAGGTGTGAATTAAAAGTATTCAATATTAATTGTTATGATTATGCTTTGACCAAGGGATGTAATTGCAAAACCTTATGAGCATAATTGCAACAATTAAAAAGTTGAGTATTTGATTAAAATAATTAAGAAACTTTGGTGACCACACTTAAGTGAAGGAAGGCCTAGGATGAGGGCTTGATTGTGGAAAATAAAAAGTTTGAGGACTAAAATTGGAAGGGCCGAATGCATCAATTAAAATTTAAGGGCTAAAGTGTTAAATGTTAGTGATTTGGGGGATTAATTAAATAGTTTTGAAGAGATTATTCCAGCCATAACTAAGCTGGAAAATGAGGGATACAAATATCTCCATAAGTTAGCAAAAAGAGGGAAAGAAACAAAGAGAAAAATCAAGCAAAAATCTAAGGAAAAAGACAAAGAAAAGAGAAGGATGAAGAAATTTCTAGAGATGGTATTAATTGCAAGCATTCGGGATTAATCCAAGTTTGATACACTTGGCTTAATCCAAGAGAAAATCTTCCCTTTAAATTCGACAAAGAAGAAGGAAGAAAAGGTTAGAAAATTCTAAGTGTTCAAGGTTACAACAAGAAGAAATCAAGTGAAACCAAGTGGAAATTTACAAAGCCAACACTCCAAAACACCTAAACTAGCCTAGAAACACCTTAAAGATCACCTAAAACTAGATTGGAAGATCAAACAAAGGAGGAGGAAAAAAATCGCATCTTGGCCAAAAGTTTTGGGAGGAAGATATTCAAGACAATTTGACGAAAGATTAATCAAACTACAATGAGGTAAGTGCAGTCCTCACTATAGGACAAGAAACCATTGTTTTGATGTTTAATTAGTGATTAATTGATATTCTAATAGTTACAATTTTATAGTTTAAGTGTTGATGATGTTGTGTTATGTTTTGAATTGGATGAATTTGGTGGTGTATTTATGTTGTTGCTATTGGAATTGACATGTTTAGATGATTAAATGAAAGGAAATGATGGATATAGAATATGTTCTTAATCATGTTCAATTGGGCCTAAACCCTAATTTTGGGGGAAATTATGATTTAGGTAATTTATGCAAAACAATGTGTTTAATTAGGTGAATCAAGTTTAGATGTGTTAAAATGGAAAATTGAGGTTAGTTACTCTAGAGGCATATTTTAGCCAAATCAAGAAGTTGGGGATAGATGGTTTGATTGATCTAATTAAGGTATATATGATGATTTAATGTTTAAATGATCAAATTTGTATGAAGATGTGAGTTAAATGGATAAATGGATATTTATTTTTCATTAGGTAGGTTTTGGCTTAGTTGAGAATTTGACGAGTTATTTGATTAATTCATGTATAATTGTTTTCCGATGGGTTGAAATGTATGACATAGCAAGAAAAATGAAGGAATAAATGATGAAAATTATGAGGTTAATTGGCTTATATCCTTGGTGCATTTGATGTTTGATGTGTATAAATCGATTCATGGATACTTTGTTGATTTAAAACATGTATGTGATATATTATTTATCTTACATGTTCATATGGCTTGTCAAGTATGCATATTGAGGCAAAGGATGATGCATTACATTTTTAGTTAAATGTATTTGCATATCATAATCATGAAAGAGTATTTACATTATTTACATTTATGATTTTGATAAAGGAAAAGGAAATGTTTTTAAAAGGAATGTGTAACACCCTCAACTTAGGATCTCGTAAGTTAAAAATATTGTCGTCATTAATCCATATTCGAAGTGCAATGAATGTAAAACAACAAGGCATTGTGTTTCTACTATGGTATTCTAGGTATGGAATTAGTTACAAAAGTCTAATAATGACGGGCGAGTCTTAAATTTAGTCCAAAAAGCACTATAAATTTTTCACATTTTATCATTTTATTTAAATTAGTTGACTCGAATAGATTGGATTTATGATACTCGATTTTCTCAAATTCCTTTTCTATTAGTTTTTATAAATTCATTTAGTTATTACCCGTTACTCGATAATTAATTTCTTTTATCTTCTTTAACTACCATTTGTTGTGATTATTGGCTCATTAATTTAATTTTTCTTATTTTACTATTGATGCAAACATGTAAGAAAATATCTTAAAGAAAACTACACCAACTATTGCTATACTACTATTTCACTATCAATATCTTGATTAATATACGAAATTTTCATAATTTACATATACTAGTTCTATGTTTCATACTACAAAAATGACTTATTTAGTACATACCTTTTCTTTTTTACTTTTTCTTTTTAACTAAGCACTAATTTTTTAATAGCTTTGACTATCATATAAAAGAAAGATGTCATGCCTAGAAAATAAACTAAAATATCGAGTACTAAAATAACTATAGCTTGGAGGAGGTCCACCTTGCAATCACATCTAAGGTACACGCGATGCGGTAGTCGACTCAAATGTGAATATTTCCTAGTGACCTATATTATCTACACCATAAGAATATACATGAGAGACAACTTGGTAAGCTAATCTAGCAATGCTATGCATGTAAATGAAATGCATATGAAAATCATTTGCATGTTCGTCCGAAATTCTTTTTCATGTCATAAAATCATTATCATGATTAGTTTGAAAATTTTTTCTATCTTTGGACATGTTCAATCATAGAAACTTTAGGGTTTTCATAATATGTCTAGCGAACCGCGACCCATCTACAGATATGCCCAGTCGAGTGTCTAAAAGTGCATGTCCGTGCTTACTCGACCTTGAACCATAAACCATAAGCGAGTATGGAAAACCCATGAAGCCCTCCTCATCATTAAAAAAAAAAAAAAAAAAAAACATGAAAGCCATGAAAACCAATAATCATAAAATGCTTCCAATTGCTATTGGAAAAGTCTTAACATAAAATCCTCTTTTTCATGCCTTTAAACCATTTTCATAAACTTTGCATGCATATGCATTTTATTATAAATGCATAATCATTATAATTTCATGAAATGCATGCCATGAGTGAGGTGCATTGTGCTATAATAAAGCATGATTTAATAGCATAATTGCACCATATACCTTACCTTATTAAAATCATTTCAAACCATTATAAATAATAACATCATTACACAATGCAAGCCAATGCACTTCCATAGTCATCCACACCACAAGTTTCACACATCATAAACATATCAAACACATTAAATGGGCAACAAAGTATCAAATCACCATTAAATTATGTAAACCAAAACAAAAACCCTAACTTATCCTAAGTTGGCTAAATGTGCCGTAAACTTAGGTTAGGTAATTTTTCACACTAACTTATTCAATTACATTATCATATCAAGAATTTAATTAATTAAGCAATCATTGGCTAAATACATGCGTAAATCCTAACTCGGGCCTTGATTAGCGAAAACCCTAATTAAGGTAGTTTAGATTAAATTTTCATTTTCAATGAAATCTTCCATAATAACCCATCTTTTTTAAGTTAAACTAACTTATAATTCATCAATTAAATCATTTGAAATTAAAAGGTATAAAAAAAACCTAATTTTTCTCCTAATTGGCTAAATTTGGACCTAGGCTAATTAGGTGAAGTTCTTCAATTTTTATGGAATTTCACACTCTCATTCATCAATTCATACATATTCAACTTCTGATTACCCAATAATTCATTAAGTGAAGGAATCAAAACCCTAAAATTTCAAATTTTGAGCCGAATGGGTCCTTATAGAATTCCGGAAAAATTATTCATTTTTAATGCAATTTTTCACACTCAATCATTAATTCATACATAATTAACACTTAATCAAGTAATAAATCATCAAACCAAGCAAAACATTAAAAAAAAAAAAAAAAAAACCCTAAAAATTCAAATTTTGGGCCGAATGCTTTCTCTCTCCCAATCTTAGAAATTTTTTATTTGTAATCATCAATTTCAAGCTCAATTGACATGTTTTAACTTTAATTGCATGAATTTTTAACTTAAAATCATTTTTCTCAATTTCTCCTTATCAAGAACCCTAACCCTAATTTTTAAAATTAAGGCAATTAAACATAAAATTAGGGCATCAAACCATCAATTGACATCAATTATGTAGGTAAGATTAACTTAGACTCAAATATGCTCCA